TGGTCGTTGTATCATTTTGAATGTTAATGTTACATATCCTTCACGAAAAAATATAAATATTAAATCATATAGAAAATGAATGATGTACAAATAGTAAATGGTATTGAAATAAAATAAAGACATTTCTATGAAAATTTGCAGACTAATATAATATAATTTATCGTTATCAACTTGTAGATATATCTACAATTGTTATTCTGTATTTTTTTTTGAATGATTACTACAGTAATTATTATCAAGCAATATTATATAGGTTAAATTCAGTGTTTTCAGAAAGCCCATAATGTGAAGTGGGGATCGATTACATTATTATGTAATACATATATATTCAGTACCAGATTAAACTGATTCAATATAACACTATATAATTCCTGATAACATGCCTTTTTGTAAACATCGTTAATTAAATTTAATTTATTAGTTTTGTCTCTGCATCGCATATTCGCATAGTATGGTATTATAAATTATTATTTAAATATTATATTAAGATCCTTATCTTCAACAACAAATGTTATGTGTAGGCTTTCCATATTTTATAAACATAGTCATACTGTATATTATTATTATATATATGTATATATAAAACAATTTTTCCATTATAATTTATAATACAGGAATATGTAATCATCGCTTATATCGCTGGAGCAGATAAATTGTAGATTATAATTTAATTAATATTATGTAAGTAAATAATTTGATTCATTAGTAGACTTTTAGATGACTTAAAATGGACGCCATTATGCCAAATCACCTGCAATTTGTTCATGAAAATGCTTTTGCGAGGAACGAACTCACGGAGACAGTATTAACAGTTTAAAGACAGTTTTTTTTATAACTTACAGATCTTCATTAATTGTAAAAATTAATTTTTAGATTTTTATCGGAGCAATTAATGTAATGTGTTTACAATGTTTTTTTTTTTTGTTGTGTGTCATTACCTTTCGAAGCAGTAAAAATGTTCTATTTCAGACTTCAGCATCTTTGTTGGTAGGAAAGTGAATTTAGTTGGTACTTTGAAGTTTGAGGAGGAGATACATGAAATTTTTACCAAAATATGTTTTATATTTGTATTATCATTTTTTATACATTAAAAATATTTTTATTCTTTTCGAGCTTTAAAAGTAATCAGTTGTTCTTCAACAAATTTAAAAATACAGTTGCACTATTTTTTATACGAGTAGATAAGTGTTAGAAATTCGTAAAATAATGATCACACGGCAAAAATATACAAATGACGGTATAGTGTACACATAGTGCTGAATAAAAAACGCCTTGTAAGTATACCTACTAATTACTAATTACTGAGCAGATGTGACAATGATTTTACATTTTCATAATTAATTATTATCAGATAAAGATAAAATGAAGGATCTATGTGGATCCTAACTCATGTACTATAAAATCGAAAATTCTATAGGTATTTTATAGACATATAGGTATATCTAGGCTGATTATTGACTAAATTAATATTTTATACTGGTAGGACTGGTAGGTACTTGGGTGGCTAGCCGGCTAATCTACTCATAAAATAATTTAACAGCATTTTTGGACGTTCTAATTTTATTATTCCTATCATTTATTTATATGGAATTATTTCATTAAAATAAATTATTGCAATTTTTCGTATAAATTGTTATAATTGTTTTTAATAATAATAATAAAAAAAAAAACGAACAATTTACAATAAAAATTATAACTTTGGTTTTATGACAAATAATGTGTCATGTATGCTTTATGATTAGTTAGATTACAATAAATATTTGAAATTTGTTGTTTTTTCTACAGACTTATGATAGGTACTGTATTTGGGGGAGGGGTGGGGGTTGTTGAGGGTCGGAGTCCCTTTTCTTTTTTCCGTTTTATTTTTTTTGAAACATTCAGTTGGAAACTCAACTTTTTGTAGAAAAATTAGTAAATTGTCAGTTTTCCTGATGCAAAATATAATAGGCATAATAATATTTTTACTTTGTAGGTACCTACGAAAAAAAAATGAATTGTTAAAATCCTCATAACTATAAAATACGGTGATAAGAAATTGTATTATGCAAGATATAGTGCATATCAAATTGTATGCACCTTATTTAATGCTTAATTTGTTAATAATCGGTCAATTTTTTTTAAAATAATTAATAAATGTTTTTTCTTTTCTTTTTGTATAATTTATTTGTAAAAAAAATGTAATATTGTTTTTTGAGGTGGTTGTGACGGTTAATTTTATCTGGACGCTCTTTTATCCAATATCAGCCGACTCCCTTCACTATTTTTTTTCGAGTCAAGCACTGCTTATAAGTCAATGGTTAGGAAGCAGGGGTAGCTCCAGGGGGGCGTAAGGGCCAAGGACCCCTCTCAAATGCGTATTTTTAAATAAATTGTATATTGTTAAAAACAAAATAATAAAAAAAAAGCATATAACATCGAAAGATTTCTGAAAATGATGACTTATCCCCCCCCCCCCAAGTCTCTAGACCCGTCACTGTTTGCTCGGATGATTTCAAAAATATATTATGTTTATAACTAACATAAATAATGAATAGAATATAATGTACCTAAGGTAATGGATAATTTAAATTTATAGGCCTTAAAACAATTAGATAGGTAAGTTACATTATTTAATTTTTAATTGTTAAAAGTATCTATATCACGGGCTTACGTTAGACTTTTGGAACATTCTTTTCAAACTTTGAAAACTCGACTTTAAATAGTTTCTTAATAATAGTTAATATAGCTATAAGAATTAAAAAATCGTAACTCATGAGTTATAATCACAGTTTTTAATAAAATATTTTCGTATTTAGATTACTATACAATTCTGTGAACACAGGTAAGTAGTCGATACCTGTTGGCATGTCTCCAAGTCGGATTGAATAATTATAAATATTAAAAAATACTAAAGAAACTACTCTAATATGTAGGTATTAGGTAAGGTATTTAATATTATCACCCCTCAATATTTTAGAACCGTCAAATGTCAACATTATATGCACATTACAATGTGACAAATACGAAGCAAAACGCCAAAACCGATCAGAGTAAAATCATATACTTATTATTTTACTACAGAATGCAACACATTTTGCTTAGACAGATATTGACGATATTTTTGTATTAGTATAACCGGAGTGTTTTCGTCTATATATAAATAACAGAAAGAATTCTATGAAATGAGGAACTAATTTATTTTATTATGTTTTCTTCGAATCTGCATATCACCTACTCATTACAATAAAAGTGTAGGGGAATTTGTACGTATCATTGCCTCTGGGTATTTTTTTTTGTAGAACATTGGTTCTGCAATGACCTATAAGTTTTGCACGTGGAAACTATAGAATTGCCGGGAAATCGCTGAAGGTGAAAATAAAAAACTTATTTGAATCGCACTCCGTAACCTACACAATATTTATTGGGTATTACCCAATAGGTCATTGCATTTCACCGATTGCGGTCAGACATGACGGTTTCGTTGGAAACGCAAACATTGCCGAGGTCTAATGTAAATCAGTGTATATACAATATTATACAAATATCAAGTTCGCATTTTCATGTTATTATATCATTATTGTTTAATGACTAATATATACTATAATAGACAATAGTATCTCTTACACATGAATAACCCAAGTACCTATATATTTTAAATATTTTTACTCAATAGTCAATAAATTTATCAGATATATCTTGTCATCTTGATACATTAAATTTTAATATTTACGAATGTATTTTATTTTTGTACCAATGAGTTATTGCAGTAATAATAACTTATTACATAGGTACATTGTACATACTATTAATTATAACCCAAATTTTGGAAATTATATCGAATTCTTTGGTATATAATAACTAATTGTTGAATTAGTAAATACATTACGGTAGGAACCTGTAAAATAATACTTTTTTAAATACAATGTAACGAAAAAATGTTTACGATTAGTTAACATTAAGTACAGTAGGTATTGAATGATACCTATATTAAGACTTAAGGTATTTAATTTAGTTGAAAAAATATATTAAAGGGATTATATATGGCACTCGGGTTCCGGACATTCAAGTAGGTAGGTACCTAAGAAGTAATAATAAGTCTAAATATGGGTACCTACTTAATATTGGTTATACATAAATAAAATAATTTGTGAAATTACTTACAATTTTATAAATTTGAAAATGGAAAAGTTCGACGTCAATACATAATACTAAATAGCACTTTCGTACACTAAATTCTTCAAAGACACATTATACTTAAACGACATTGTTGTGGCTACGAGCACAAGTTGAGGTTCAATGACGGCAGGTAGGTAGGTACCTATCTTGCCAGCAGCACCTGTCTGCCCCCCAATATTCATTTGAACTAAAACCTTCAAGGTCTACTGGCGAAGTGGCGTATTAAATACCTACACCGGCGTATTAAACGGATTAAAATATAATATTGTAAAACAATGTCAATTGATTAGGCTTAGGCACCTACTGTTTACTCATCGAGAATTTAAGACATCCTTCAATTAATCAGTTGTTTTTTGTAAATAGATGCGAATCAATTAGTTCTCATGATATGTTTCATGTTTATGCAAAAAAGTTAAAACTAAACTAATATTCAAGAAAATTTAAAAAAAAATCATTTTTTTTATGTTTCGTACATTGGTTAATCAATTTTAATATATCGTATTTAATTTAATAAATAATATATGAATTGATAGTGATAATTTATAAATTATTATTACTCACCTAGAATTGTTATTTGTACTGTGTATCCTGTATGTAGATCAATATTATACGTATTAATTTAATTGTTCTTTAATATAATACCTTGTACCTAGTCCATTTTTTGAATAAAAATAATAACAAAAATAAAACAAAAACAAAGAGTAGAAAACAAGGATAGAGATAAAAAAGGTTTGTGTATAACAACAAGTATCTTGTTGTCAGGGGTTGTCAATGGACAACAAGTAGGTATGGTAATAAAACATGTACAAATATATTTTATATTTTATACAAATATACAATATACATCCATGCATATAATTTTTTAATGAACAATAATGTACAGTATTGATGATTCATACATTATTCAACCATTGAAACTGGTTTTCACTGTAGATTATAGAATAACAGGTAAGTATAAAACTAACTAAACAAAAGAGATTAATCATTTTTGGGCTGAACCTTGGTAGATGAAACTACTGTGATTAAATTACATATTGAGTAAATTTAAAAGCACTATGAATCACCTTTGAGTTCACTTTGCTTTTCCTCCATTATTCGTTGTGCTTCCAGTACATATTTATCAGCCAATGCAGTAATCTATATATTACATACAAATAAATAAATAATGATATAAATATATAAATAATGAAGATCAAAGAATGATTTAGGACAGTATTTTTTAATCAAAATTCTTTTAATTTAAACAATTTTTAAATATTTTAATTGCAAATATTATAAAAAAAAAATATTTGATTGAATATTATATAGTAAAATGAGCTTAAATTTAAATACCAAAGAATACACTTATTACTTTGATACATCATTATTCACCAAACATTCGCGCAGGTTATACACATCCAACAAACTACGAACACCATATTCAGATAGATTTTTTTTTTTGAATCTCAAGTTTTAGTTTAGTATTAATAACACTTTTTAGTACTACACACTTTTTCAAATGAGAAAGCACCCTGCTCACGCATATGGCAGGGTGCGTGGTGTCAACAACAGTGGTCTGCAGAGTGGGGAGGATAAGTAACTTAGAACCAGATTTCGTCCTCTGCCTGATGCGCACTCATTTTAAAAAAAGAGTATAAATAATTATTTTAAAAAATGTTGTTCGTATATACAGGGTCGTACTCAGCCCTAAATGGCAAACTAAATCTTACGGGACCCTAAACAATAGTTTTTTTTTTTTGGCCAGGCCTTCGAACAAATAGGTCTGAACTCTGAGTACGACTCTACATTTATATTATAAGTAGCATGCTACTAGATATTTTTTCTCTGTAAGGAAACTTGAGGTATCATAGAAATATGTTTTTGGGTGTAGCACAGTAGAAATATATTTAATATTTTAACAGCATAATATATTTTTTTATTGTTGATTTTCATTTCCATGGCAATAAACAAAGCCTTACAAAATTAGCCTCTTAGAAATTGGTTAGAAAAAAAAATTCTATGTTAAAAATATGAAATATTAATTGAATGACTTCATTAATAATTATAGAGATTCTATAATGATATTTAATTTAATTTAAATATAATAATGATTCAATTTATCAGTTTTAGCATTACTTTTGTTAAATTACTTAAATATAATTTGATGTAAAATATTGGAGTATAATTCTTCAATACAAATGTATTAAACAGATAGACAATAGTAAACTCTTGTGACGGTATAGTTTAAAATTATACATAACTAACTATTATAAATGTTGTAAAATTTGCATTATTTTTTGTCAACTAATATTGTTTATGCATTCAATTTATAACAAAATGTCAACATTAATAATCTTAAAACTTAATAAATTAAAATTAAAACTAAAACTAAAAAATATAACAAAATGTACATTTTGATGTGCAGATGGAATGAATGATTAGGATACAAAATAATAAATTTGGTAATCATAAATATGATTATATAAAATATATCTTTAATATGATACCTACAAATTATAGTATTGTCAGCAAAAAAATAAATACTATTCATAATTTTCTTAAATTTCTTATCATATGCTCTGATATATACCTAGAAAAATTAATTTTCAAATATCTTCAAAGAAAATAAACATTATAAAGATAAGAAACTGAAAGTTCTATCAACCTCAACACTGGAGTTAAAGTTAAACTATTAAAACATTGTAAAAGTTAAGTAAAAGAAGAATAGTATTGCTTTATTAATCATATAAATGCATTTGTAGAACTTTTTGTGTCATCAAAGTTGTTTGCTACTGAAGTTTAATAGGTAACTGACTACGCATACATTTTTTCTGAATTAAAATTGTTAGTATCTACTATTTACTATTATTGTTAAATAATATCATGTGTATACATAGTATAACTAACTGTATTTTGGTGTAGTTGTTAAATAAAATTAACTAATACAAATATTTTATAACCTACTTATTATAATAGTCTATAAAATATTTTTTTTAAATTTTTTGTCTTTTTTATAAACAATAAATAGAATTTGAATAAGTTTAAGACTTAAGGAAATATTGTGCATTTCTTGTTATTTCAAACTCATCATATCTTAAACATAACAACTTTGATTTGTTTGAGGACATGTACATAATTTTATTTAATGGAGTAAAGAAGGATAAAGGATTTAAAATTGAAAGCATATAATTTTCTGAAGTACCTGATCTTGCAAAGTGTGAACCAAATCAGTCGCCAAGGCATCATTGTCTTTTAATAGTTTGATATTTTTATTTTGTAATTCTTTAATAGAATCTTTAGTTTTGATGAAAAGTGCCTTTGCACCTTTGCTTAGGTTTTCCCTATGTTCTTTTGTAACTCTAAAATATGAAAATGTAAAAAAATTACTTATTTTCAAAATGTTTTACTTTAATACTTTACTTAGGTATTGGTATAAATATAGAAGTTTTATCTTGTTGGGGATTTAAATTCATACCAGAAGCTTTTAATGATTCCAAAACAGATGGAATTGCTTGTGGAAATGATGTCATGTTCAAAATTATTGTTTTAGGATTTTTTCTCACAATCTGTGCTAAGTCTTGTATAACATATTCATCGCCTTCAAATGTAACTGGTAGTGAATCCAATGCTCCTAAAATGTGAGTTTAAGATTAAATTGTTGTTAAGTATTTTGTGGGTACTACATTGTTTCTTATTGATTAATCGTTAATAGTTCATCCACATTTCACATTCCATTTAATAAGAACTTAGTTTCATTGAAAATAATATATATAATATTTCACGGGTCAATCAAGTTTGTCTGTCTTGCAAGTAAAGTCAGTTTGCTGTTAATGATAAGGATAACAAATAATAATATAACATAATACAGTGAATTGTTTTTATTGTGATAGGTATACCTGTAGAAGATCTTAAGGACAGATTTTTGATGTAGTTATTTTTTAATGCAGCCACAGCCTTTTCCATTTCAGTTTTCATGGTATTGTATTTGAAGTGCTCAGCCAAAAAGTTCTCATCAATGGATACTTTCTTCTGACCTTAAAAATGGATATAAACTAAATACACAAACAACATTCACTACTTATTAGATATTTGCATAATGGACATTTATCATAGGTGAAACGACAGATGAGGCCAGCCAGGCTCATGTCCTGAACTAATACTGACTTCAGTAATAAAATTTAAAATTAATATAAAAAATTTATTTTGTAATTGGAATTTTTTTCCCATATTTATCATTTGGTCAGTCCTGATGAAATTTTTTAATTTCGCTTATGGTATTAATCATTGCAAATATGTGCTGGAAACGTGATATTATTATACCTTATTACCTTTATTGCTTTTCTTGTCTTTGTTTTTGGCATAACACCGAACCGAATGGTGTGTACAACATAGGTCGCTGACGTTATTATTGAGAAATTTTGATAACCGGCATTTTGGGCCCAACTGCGATTTTGCATCTAACCTACCAAGACATTGGAGTGCGATGTAACATGGACTTTGCCCGTACCGCAGGGCAGAGACGACTTGAAATCCTACAGCAGTCGTTATTTTAAACATGTTGATTAAGACTAAGCACCAAACGGGATGCGACGAGAAATCGGGAGAATAAATGGGATAACAAGAATTTTGAATTTTGAAATATTATTTTAGGCTTTTGCCTGCTGTTTGTCCTTAGCCCGTGCTTGTCGTTTTCGTTTATAAAATCGTTATCTCTTATCAAAGTCCCGTCGTCGACGACATAGATAATGGTATCAATAGCACATCTGCCATTTTGTTTTTCATACCATCCCGGAACCCACAGAGTATTCAAAATTGTCATCATATTATTCCAAAATTAATATTACTATTCATACATAAAAAATAAATATAATCATATGACAACGATTTTCGATATTTCAAAGATAAAACTGTGTTTAGTTTATGACCATAGACGACTTTCAAAAAGAAAAGTTCGATATGTACCGATTCGTATATGGAAGTCCGATATGGATTGGTACGTTTCTGTGGTATACCGCTCATGTAACTTCTTGAAAGCTAGTTATTGAACCGATACACTCAAATGTCTTTCTTAAAAATCTTGATCTCAGATTGTGAGTACCTATAGAACCAATAGACTTTCCGTACGAAAACGACAACGACTGATGAGGCTGGTGGCGGGCGGATAGACTACGCGTAAAATACAAATTTCGCCGTTGCCGCCTATTTTATTTAGCTTTGGCAACGTTGCGCGGCGGCGGCGGCAGCAGCGTTGCCGGGTCGCATGATCAAACAAAAAAAGTCAATGCACTCGTCTGCCGTGGCTGTGGACTGGTCGCACCGTCTCTATGTCGCCACCGACCGACGCCGCCGTTATTTAGTCTCGCGTACTTGTGACTTGTGTGTATCGTGTACGTGAATTTTCGTGCAAGTCCGAATCGTTCACGACACGCACACACATACACACACACACACACACACACACACTAGTACGGTACTACACTACGCTCACTCACACACACATTCTCAGACGCTCCGATTTCGATTTATTTTTTACCCGTGCGGCGTTCCCGACCGGTGGTGTAGTTTCTTTGCGCGTCTGTCGGTGGTCCGAGGTTGCTGTTTTACTGTATTTACATCGAAATCGCAACCGACAATCGTCGTCATCATTATATTATGCGTTCGGTTTCCGTCCGACAAAACCGACGTGATCGCAGCGCATGACTCTATAGCCGGCAGACGCCGCTCTGCTAAAAACCCGACGAACCACCACCATCACCCGTTCGGCGATTTCGTCGTTTTGCAGTTAACACGTCTATACCACATCTCATACATATCGTTCACCTCGCCGTCACCGTTACAACAGTACAACTGCCATCACGACCACACTGGACTACTTAATAATATCGTAAATTTATCATTATTGTAGAGTGCCTACTACAGTAAATTTATCATTGTCACGGAATCGATAGGATCTGTGCGAATTTTGATTGTCGGTTCCACGGTTTACTCGTCGATGATAACCACCTAACTTCCTAGTAATATATATATTACTACTTTGCACCATCAACGGCGGCATTCTTCCTAAAACGCGACGTCAGCAGCTTTACAGCAGATCTACCTCGTTTCGTCTTCCACGTGAGCAGAAAACATGGCCGGTAACTATTCGATTATTTTTCACCTCACTATTATAATTACATACGGACATACTTTTATGGAGACCAAAACATGCTCCTGCTAATGATCTTGTGTCCGTCTCTCACGCAGGAAATCACTATCGTGTTTCTGTTTTCTTCTCCTTTTTACCTTCCATTTTCCGATGTACTTTACCCTCGTGAAATATTTTTGAACTCTGTTGTACCTTTAGGTTAACATTTGCACACTCTAAGAAGTTATTAGACAGCAGGAAGTCATCTGTAATTTTATATATTTACTGCACATAATTCTTTTCTACTTATCTACCTACTTAACTGCACACATTCAGTTACAAATGGACTACTTATCTATGACATAATGGGACATGGTATCAAGTATGCTACTATAATTTCCAAATTCCTACAGATCGTTTGGACGATCACTATTTTGTCGATTAGTAAATGGACTAGGTACCTGGATACCTATAGATCTTTAAATCATTACAGATGTTTGGATTACCTTCAAATCAGCTGTGATTTATGAAAGCAAGCTGAATTACAAATTTTGTTCTGATTTGATTCATTTTGTTATTTGTCGATTCTGTCTTGTTGGATATTGTTGAGGAATATATTAATACAAGATAATTATATTTAGGTACCTACCTAAATATTAGTATTTTAGTATATAATTTTTGAGCCATCTTCAAATAAGTGTTATTTGTTCTCAGTACTCAATTGGTTTAGGCTCGTATCAAATTCATCCAGTGGTTATCACACAAACTTTTATTCCTTCTGTAACTTACTAATTTTGATCATAACTTTCAAGTAAATATATCTAGTTGATAGTTAAAATACAAAATTAACATTTTAAAGGCGCCTATGCCTACAAGTACCTCTTTATTTTATTTTCTACCTATTATAAAAACTATTGAACCATAACCTCAAAATCCCTGTAAAAACTAAAAACATTTAATTATTACAAGGTAGGAGGTACCTACCTATATTTTCTATTCATGAGATTATGTTAATGCTCAATATACCTACCTTTATTTGTTAATTTTAAATATCTATATTATAGTTCTTAACTTTATTATGTTCTAAGATTGAGGTTGATGACCTAAGTAGATTATATCATCCTCATGTGCTTTGGTGTTTACTTGAAAAATAAAATGACAATTGGTATTGCGCGTATAAATTTGGTGATTCATGCTTTGTCTGTGATTAAGCAATCCAGTCAAGGATATTATACAAATGTCTTAAGCTGTGTTTATATTGATGTATCAAAACGACAAACTGTTACATGTTCACATCATATCCTTCCTCAATTATTGACATTGAATGGATTGCCTAAATTGATGAGTGTAAAATACTTGTATGATAATGTATACTGTTATGTTGCTCGGGTGTGTAAGCGTTGTTACAATTTTCCATTTTATTATACAGGTGTGGTACTTTGCCTAAAATATAAATTTAATCTATTTTTAATCTAAAATTATTTTAAATAGAAGTAGCTTACCTATCTATCTTTATTAATTATTATTAAGTGTAATTTAATGTACCTACCTCTTTATTTAGATTTAGATTTAGATTTTTAACTATTAGGTAGGTTTTTAATTCTTACTTACCTATCTAAATATGAGTCAATTCATCAATTTGTAAACAGTAGGTACCTATAGGAAAAATAATACCTACATTGTTTAGTGTGTGTGTGTACCTGCGAGTACTAATTTGCATTCCATAGTAACTCGCCAATTAGTACTGGGTGGGTGGGTGGGTCACTTTTGTTAGTTGCATGTGCTCTCAAAATACTTCTGTGCGCCACTGGTACTTACCTATTTAATAATTACCCATAATTTCTTAGACTTTATTCTGAAATACATATACCTATTATGTATGAATCATGTTCATCTAATATGAATTTTAAAATTTTGCACCATAAAAATAAAATACTTTTAAGTTTCATTCAAAATTTGCCAATACCTATTATTTATTAATTAAGTACCTTTTATCACTATATTATTACATATAAGATAATAGGTAATTAATAATCTTTAATAATACCTACCAAGTTATTGTAAATACAAATTTCAGTTATTTTTGTTAGTTGTTGATATCTACTGCCTATTTATACCAAATATACTAGTTAGGTACTAGCCCGGGTAATAGTTACATAAAAATCATTTAGATAACATTAGTTCATCAAACTAAAAAATAATTTATGTTACCTCCGATGTTACCTGATTTTGGCCTGTAAAATTATTATGCTACTGGACTGATAGTGCTATTTTCGTATTTTACCAGCCTTAACGTCATTATATAATATTATGTACATTTTTTTTTGTGTAAATCTTTAATTCTACTCAACAATAGGTATACTCGACAATATATCTATTTTCTCCTACTATCTATATAGGGATTAGGCTTCGTTATTGGTACATCGATAAAAATGCTTGCATATATTATTATTTCCATGTTACATTCATTGTTATACATTTTCATTTGATCGACCATTAATTTCTTTAGTAATTTTTATTGTTACCTATACCAATTTAATTGTTATTGTTATTGTATTTTTGCAGAAGATCGAGAGTCCAGTGATCGGAAACATGAAAAATCAAAGAAGCGTGATAGGGTTAGTTACTAAAAAATGTTTTTTTTTTATCGATATATTATTATTTATTAATTTAACAAAGCCATGTCTGTTCTAACTATATGTTTTGGTACTTGTGGTATACGTTTTACCCATAGTCTTTATTCCACTATTTTTAATGACATAAACACTTTTGATCCCATTGTTACTGAACAAGTTAACCAAGAGTATAAACATACCAGTGAGTCTTATTTCTTTGATTTAAAATCTAGTGGTTATTTGGAGCCCAGGTCAATTTTAATTGATATAGGAGATCCAAATATTGGTGATACTTTAAAAAAATCAAAAAATTGTAATTGGGGATTTGGACAAAATGCATTAGGGTTTAATTTTATTGAAGGAACTACAAATAACTGGTCATATTGCTATTATGTCAAAGGTCCTGAAATGTTTGAAGATGTTTCTAGTCGGTTGAGATTTGAAATAAATAAAATTGATAAAATTGAATATTTTTTAATAATATTATCACCTTCGGGTGGTTGTGCTGGATCAGCATGTTTTATACTTGAAAAATTAAAACAGGATTTTCCTAAAATTTCTTTTATTGTAGTCTTTGTCATGCCATATCAGTCAAAAGATGCTATCCAAAATTATAATACTTCATTTACTATTAGCAAACTGTACAGTATATCAGATTGTATTTTTTCATTTGATAATTCTGTTTTACAAGAAGTTTGTCAAGCTGGGCGTTCAGAAATCAAAGTTTCATTTGATGATTTGAATCAAATAGCCAGCAAACAATTAATATCTATATTTCAACCAGTAGAACATCAAACATTTCCTTATTTTCTGTCACTTGTACATGATCAAAAATATAAATTTTTAAGATTACAGTCATCTCCAAATTATAGAAAAGAATATTCTTCATATGAATCAACTCCAAGATGGGAAGCAATTGTGAATCAAACTATACGTTCATTAAATTCATCACATTGTGTGTCTTTTGGAAATTTTGTTGTATATCGAGGTGATACTTCCAATGATGTTGATAAATTAAATTTTTCTGGAAAGTTAAGTACTTTATCATTTTCTAAACATATTCTAGAGGAACATAAATTTTTACAAATGTTTCAACAAAGACATTTTATGGGTTCCAAATATTTAAGTGTGTTGTCAAATAACTCAACAAATGTTTCTGCTTTAAGCTCTGTAGTAAAATTAGCCAAACGGGCTTTTTCCCATAAAGCATTTGTACATCATTATATTCAATATAATACAAATATCAATGATTTTAAAAATGTTTTTTCTCATGTGAACGAAATTATTAAAGACTATTATGAATTAGAGTGATTTAACTCTTCATAGTACCTACTTTTGTTTTAATTTTATTAACTATTAGATCTCAACATATTAGTTATAATTTTTTCTAGTCAGTTGTCACAAATTAGTCTTAAGGTGTTCCTAGATATTTTTTTCACTTTATTCCTGTTTTTAACGACAATTTTAATTATTGGTACCTATTTGGTTTTTTTTTATAAAAACTTATAATTTTTTTTTTTAGTGTGCTACTGAAATTGTACAAACTTGAGTGTCATTTAAAATAAATAATAAATCATCTTTTTAGTTTTGATTGAACACACATTCATGTTTATTATTCATATTATTTTTTTTTCTTCCCATATTTAGTTGAATAGTTTAATTTTAGGTAACAATATTGCAGACAAATTTGTATTATCATTTGATATTGTATGAAACTTTGTTAATAAGTGTATGAATGATGTTTTAAATACTAAGTCACGTTGGCCAATATTCATTTTTATTTAATCTTTAATCATTTGTGAGATGCTTATGAACTAATCATTCATTATTTATTGGTCCATAATATATTAATGAACTTTAAAATAAATTTGTGGAACCCTGTTATTAATTAATAGATATTTAGTTACTGTAAACATATCAAATGGTTACATTTTGGGGTTTTTATTTAATAATAGCTAATGAATTGTGTATGATACAATTTAAAAATAAAATATATACTCCATATACGCCTATTCAACTACTACTATTATTATTAATTTGACTACATAAGGAGTTATCAGCTTAACAGCTTAATATTTTATTTTTATGTTTTTTAAACAGTTATCATTCTTAGTGTTTTAGTCCTCACAAGTGTTTGGTTATTTCAAGATTTTATATATTATCTTTTGATTTTTGTCTCTCAACATCAACATTCAATCATCTCAATTTTCTTATGAGTGATTCATGTCTATTCAGTTGAACACCGATCAAGTTGAATAGGTGTACATGAGCTTTTTATATAAATCAAAGGTAACATTTTTAAATAATGTACACAAGGCCTTTTTTTTGTATCACTATTTAATTATTACTATTGATTATAAACTTTTTATTCTTTACTTAATGATTCCTATATATAAGTTACAGCTAAATATTTTTTTTCATAGTATACATTTGGTTTGGTTATAAAACTATAATTGGATAAAAGGGGCCTATATCATTCTTAAAATATTATTTTAAACTTTTTTTTTATTCCGCAGGAACATGAAAAAAATGGTGTCAAGAAAGAAATTAAACGAGAATACAAAGATGAGCCCTATGATTCAGGTTATCATACCCAGATTAAAAGAGATTACAAATTAAATCATAGTATTAAGGATGAAAATTTCTCTGATGATGGTGACTTTAATATGTCTAGCCACAAGAGGAAACAAAGTGATGATGATTTTTCTATAAAGGAAGAAGTAGCGTCTGATGATGACATACCTTTATCAAACAGAAAACGCAAGCATTCTGAAAGTAGTGAAGATGATGTTCCTCTGAGCGCTCGAACAAAGCATATTAAAAAAGAACACAACAGCAGTCACAAAAAACATAAAAAAGATAAAGAACATAAGAGTAAGCATAAAGAAAAGGATAGAAATCATTCATCTAGAGATTCTAAACATAAAGTAAAAAAAGAAAATAATACATCTCAAAAAGAAAGTCCTGTTAAGGGTACACCAAAGAAAAAAAAGGAAGAAGAACCGCAAGAAGTATGGAAATGGTGGGAAGAAGAGAAAAAAGATGATGGTGTTAAATGGAAGTTTTTGGAACATAAAGGACCTGTTTTTGCTCCAGCATATGAACCTTTACCGAGTAATGTTAAATTTTATTATAATGGTAAGCATGTAGTTCTTTCAGAGTTAGCAGAAGAAGTAGCGACATTCTATGCTAAAATGCTTGAACATGATTATACAACAAAAGAAGTATTTAATAAAAACTTTCTCAAAGACTGGCGCAAAACTATGACACCCAAAGAAAAGGAGTTAATATCTGATCTCTCATTATGTAACTTTAAAGAGATGAATGTGTATTTTACTAAAAAATCAGAGGAACGTAAAGCTATGAGTAAAGAGGAAAAAAAGAAAATAAAAGAAGAAAACGAAGCTATGCAAAAAGAGTATGGATTTTGTACTATTGATGGTCATAAAGAAAAGATTGGTAATTTTAAAATTGAACCACCTGGTTTATTTAGAGGAAGAGGTGAACATCCTAAGATGGGTATGTTAAAAAAACGGGTAGTACCTGAGGATGTCTTAATTAATTGTAGCAAAGATTCTAATATACCTAAACCTCCACCTGGTCACAAATGGAAAGAAGTCAGACATGACTGTGGTGTCACCTGGCTTGCTAGCTGGATAGAAAACGTGCAAGGACAAGTTAAATATGTTATGTTAAATCCATCTTCTAAACTTAAGGGAGAAAAAGATTGGCAAAAGTATGAGACTGCTAGAAGATTGGCGAAATCAATTGATAAGATAAGAGAAAATTATATTAATGACTGGAAATCTCGTGAAATGCATGTAAGACAAAGATCAGTTGCTTTGTATTTCATTGATAAATTGGCATTAAGAGCAGGAAATGAAAAAGACGAAGACCAAGCTGATACTGTAGGCTGTTGCTCTTTACGTGTGGAACACATACAATTACATGAAGAATTTAATGGCAATGAATATGTAGTTGTATTTGATTTCCTTGGTAAAGATTCCATTAGATATTACAATGAAGTACCTGTAGAAAAAAGAGTTTTCAAAAACTTGAAGATATTTATGGAAAATAAAAAAGGTAGTGATGATTTATTTGATCGTTTGAACACATCAATATTAAATCAACACTTACATGAACTTATGGATGGACTTACTGCAAAAGTTTTCCGTACATTCAATGCTTCATGGACACTTCAACAACAACTAGAAAAATTAACTGATCCAAATGTGTCTGTTGCGGAGAAAATCTTACAATATAATCGAGCGAATCGTGCAGTTGCTATTTTGTGTAACCATCAACGTGCTGTACCAAAAACACACGAAAAGTCAATGGGAAATCTAAAGGAAAAAATTCAATCTAAAAGAGCAGCTGTAAAAGAAGCTAAGGATCAATATAAACAAGCCAAGCGAGATGTGAAAGACGGTAGTGTGCATTCCAAGGCTCAGTTAGAAAAGAGGAAAAAAGCTTTAGAACGATTAAAAGAACAATTGACTAAATTAGAAGTTCAAGAAACTGACAAGGAAGAAAACAAGACAATTGCTTTAGGTACGTCTAAATTGAATTATTTGGATCCGCGTATATCAGTAGCTTGGTGCAAAAAGTTCAATGTTCCTATTGAGAAGATATACAATAAAACGCAAAGAGACAAGTTTAGATGGGCCATTGACATGGCTGGACCAGACTACATATTTTAAAGTTTGAATGAAACGAAATAACCTGAATTCAATATCAGTGATTTAAAACCAATTTTATATTGATTGTCCTTTTTTATTTTTACTTAATTAACCTGGCGGAACAGTGTTTTTACAATAATTATTGGTACAAATTGATTCTTATTCATGGTACCATCATTGAAATCAATTGAAGAAAAACATAAAAATGTAATTAATAAAAAAACTATATATTGTATTCTTTTTTACAATTATTCATAGATTTTTTTCTTTGTATTGTAGTATCTGTCTTAGAACCAAAATATATAAGTTTGTAAGCATGTTTATTGTATGCTAGACCTTAATTTTTTTTTACCTTATACTACTGATTGTAAATTGTGATAATGCTCTCGTAATATGATTAATAGTATTTTGTATAAAATAGAAAACAAATTAAAACTTATTTTGATGTACTTTCAAGTAATGGTGACTTTTGTAATTTTAATTTTATTAGTAATGTATTACAGTAACAACTATTGTTTTACATATTAATAATGCCCATAAAAAGGGGGTTCTTCCAGCAAATAATATTATTAAATTAGTTGTAATAAATGTCAGTCGTAATGTTTTTTACTGTAATACAAAATGTGTACAGAATTATATTGAATTTTAAATTAAAAGCTTAACAAATTTTAATGTTATTATCATTTTCATATTTTTTTAAAACCAATTAAGTAAATTCTTGTGATTGAAAAAAATATACTCAATATAATTGTTATAATATACTTATATATAATTTAAAGAAGAAGTAGGTACTTACACACTTTTATTTATATTATGTATGGTTTCAAATGTAATGATTTCAATTCAAATAAAATAATTCATCCAATTTGTTTGTATTTTCTTTCAATACTTGGTTTATTCCACCATAAAAGTAGTACTTTATTCATAGATCAAAAGCCCATGTTCCGATAATGTAGTGTTCATTATCTTTCCAAGTAAAATGCAAATTACCTTAGGACACTTCTTATTATATAATATGATAATCATGTCAAAATCTTGTACTTATTATATCAAATAAAATCACAGTAATTTCCATTTATTAGGTAATTTGTATTTGGCTATTGCATTATTGTGTAGTAGGTAATACTAATTACTATTGGTGCGGCAACAGTGTTTACATTACGTTGTCTTAAAATTAAAAATCAATATTCTCTTGGATAAAATAAATGTTTTTATCATAAACCATGATACTAGGGAACTATTTTTATTTTTTTGAAACAGTCATCTAATTGTTGTACCTAGCCAAAACTGTGCTTTGGCTGTAAGTATTGAATTTCCATTCTAGCCAACTGCTCAATTTCATCCAAGAAACTGCCGGTGCTAACCCCCCCGCATATTCTGCAGTTAGTCTTTTGTAATAATTAGTTATATCACTATATCAGTAAACAACACTCCGCCCTAACTCCCCACTCAATAATCGCTTGTTGAATAAACCTTTTAACTGTACATGTTAGTTTAATAAAGTTAAATAAGAATTAATTAACCTTAAATTGCATAAATAATGATGGCGTTGTTGGTTGATCCAAAACTGAATGTGTTATTACAAAGTACAAACTTTTAAATATAACACTGCAGCTATAAATGATTATATTAATTATTAATCGCGAGGAATAGTGTACCTACATGTGCAATTGCCACTTGAACAAATACCTACAGTAACAGTATCGTGACGCATACATTGTTCTTGTCGATAATCATTTAAAAAAATTTTGAACAGTTTTTACTTAGTTCTACGGTTACAATACTTAATAGTTATACATATTACAAAGATGTATCAGTATCGTTGTTTCACTGATAACACGTTAAGGTTTTGGGGTTGTTGCAAGCCTACAAACTCGTCTTTTGTTAGTTCTGTCTTCTGTCTTTATAGAATACTAATAATGATAACGCGACTGGTCTTGACATTCATACATACGATGGATTGAGCGTGATTGTGGTGAAATGTCGGAAAACTGCACAATATTGTATATTACAGATATCGGAAAACTTGGTTCTCGGGAGTATTGTATAGGCAATTCGTCGTGCTCAGTAGGCAATACACATAAATATCTATTATTATTTATTTTTATTTTTGTATAATGCACATAATATTATAATAAAATCTTCGTATAATCATAATGATTGAATCATTATAATTTCAAAAAAGGTCTTGGTTATTGTCTCTAACATCATTATTCATTAAGTACGTACCTATACCGGCTATACGCCTATACCATACTTCATCGAGTGACACGTCGTGTAGTCAGTAGTGCCGTGTATGTAAATATAATAATATGTTGTACTTACGTTTCATAGTTTTATTGTTTTATCCGAGATCGGCAGGTTTGGATTTTCAACAGTTTTTATAGTCTGTATATCTTCTGTCTGGGGAAGGGGGCGTTTGAATGAATTTTGAGATTTATTCTAGAAGGCAGTTTATTTAGATACCCTTACCTAAAGTGTAATACCTCTATCGTTTAATACTATTAATACTTTATTTAAAATATAGTTTGCAATCATACACAATGGATATACAAGAAATAAATGCATTTGAAAAGTTCGTCAGTTTTGCAGTTTGATTACATAATTTGGTGTCTAA